ACCCGTTTGCTGACACATTGTCTCGGAAATATTTACCAGATACTTACCCAGAAATTTCCGAAAATACCAATATGCATGTTCACTTCATAACAAAAAACTTGCCATACACAGATCAAAAACTTAGTGAAGTAAGGTCAAAAACTGAGTCAGATCCAACACTCATGACCTTGAAACAAATCATTCTTCAAGGCTGGCCTGAAAAACGCAAAGATTGCAATTCTCAAGTTCTAGAATACTGGAATTAAAGAGATGAACTCACTGTTGTAGATAATATCATCTACAAAGGTCAAAGATTGATTATTCCTAAGTGTCTAAGATCTGAAATGTTAAATTTGCTACATAAAGGTCACCCAGGTCAGGAACGTAGCTTCCTCAGGGCACAAATTTCTATGTTTTTGGCCTAACATTAGCAAAGACATAGTGCAGAAAGTGCAACTAGTGTTCTGTATGTGCAGAGCATCAAAGGTCAAATTCAAAGGAACTGCCTTGGTTTCACATGAAACCCTAAGTACCCATGGCAGGTACTAGGTACTGATGTATTTACATTAGATAACCAAAGACTACTTGTAAGTATGCGACTACATGAGCAACTATTTTGAAGTTGACATGATTTAAAATACAAACAGTAGCACTATTATTAAGTTAATGAGAACTTGGTTTTCAAGACATGGTATTCCCCAGAAAATAGTTTCAGATGGTGCTAGTTATTACACATCACAAGAATTTAAAGAATTCACAACTAAATGGGACATAAAGCATGTAAGGTCATCACCTCAATAGACCCCTTTCAAAATTACTAGAAATAGAACGCTGCATATCATTACTGACCACAGGTTATCTCTGGAGGCAGAAAGCTGTCTGCTAATAGCCTAAATTCATGGAAAAGAGTCTACACATGCTAAAAAATGACCATGTCTTTGGGTTTTACTCTTAATATTTCATATCTGTAAATTTAGTTTTTTACTTTGATAAACTCATAATCCTTTTCTGCAGACAAAACACTTCTGATTCATTATTATTGGACAAAAATATATTGGCTAGTAAGCTACAGATACTGGCATTCAATGGGCCCACTGTTTTTCGTTTGAGAAATGTTGTTCAAAAAAGTGACCACTTTTTCGGCGCCGTCCCCCATCCAAATATTACATCAGCGGGTTGCCAGAAGGGGGGGTTGTGCCCCCTTCTGTTTGGGGGGTTTGAAGGGCGGCGGAGTCCCCCTCATCTCCAAGAAAATTTTGGACATATGACAGGCTAAAAATGGCCTCAGGTCGATCTTAGGGTAACTAGTAACCGGCTGAAAAGCCTTTTAACTCTATCTCAATTCATTGAAGGGCGGCAAAATATGATTTTTTGGGAGTCCCCCCTTGCCATGGTAACCCCTACAGAGGCTATGGTGTATCTCCAAAGAAAATTGGAAAATCTAGGTTTTTGTGTAAATTCCAAGGTTTTTCATCATTTTTTGTTTGGGGGGTTTGAAGGGCGGCGGAGTCACCCTCATCTCCAAGAAAATTTTGGACATGTGACAGGCTAAAAATGGCCTCAGGTCGATCTTAGGGTAACTAGTAACCGACGCTGAAAAGCCTTTTACTCTATCTCAATTCATTGAGAAGTTGCAGCACTTTGAAATCAGTTTTGATGGAAAAAAACAATGCAAAATAGTGATTTTTGGCAATTTTGAGACGTCCCCCCGTTGCCATGGTAACAGGAAATTTACCATTGAGCTATGGTTACAGAGGCTATGGTGTAGTCAACATTTGTGCCAAGTTTCATTAGTATTGAAGCATTTTTCACAGTTTCATATCAGTTTGAACTTGTTACAGGAGGCTTTTCAATGAAAACGGCCATTTTTCGCAATATGCTCATGGGGTAAAAGGTTAATGCTTTCTCAGAATAAATTGACATTTATAGCGGACAAATGTTTGAGCTTCTCAATTTCAAACAAAGGGAGATATTATGATATCAAGATTAGATAACTCTTTACATGTTTATTTATTTATTTTATTTTAGCAACAACATAGATCACAGTTACATAATAAGATATATATATATATATATATATATATTCACACATATCTTCACTTACGGGGCCCATATATAAGACCGAGTTGAGTGGCATTATTTCATGCAGTCAATTTTTATATACGCCACTATATAGGCCTATAATGAACATTTCCATACAACAGAACTAAGGGGTACTAAGTTATATATATAAACTATATATTTGATTTTACCATAGGTGAAAACATATTGACCAATAACATAAAACCCCATTAAAAATATATACATTTGTGGGACATATATCATTTACTACTAAAACCGGCCTACGGGCACTATGTTAGAAGGGTAGCCTACGCCCCCATACATCGTTTTAAACATGCCAGAGTTGCGAGGCCTTATGTATGCCCCACATTAAATATACACCCCACAAGTATGGTCTCAAATAGACCGATGCCCCGTAAATGGAGGAATGTGTTTGTATATATATATATAAAATAACAGTTTATCCAAATTAAAATATCATTTCATATTAATAATAAATAAAACAAATTTAGTTAATGACTGTGATCAGATGAGGCATTGGATAAATGTATTTAACAAAAAAAGAAGTAAATAAATAAATTAATAAAATCACATTTCAGATTAAGACTACAACAGTCAGAATTATAATTATCACAGAATATTGTTTAAAGTTACTGATAAACATGATATAAAAGAAATAAAAGAATTTCAATAAAATTTCAATACAAAGGTTTTGTTTAAAAGTGATCTATGGTTACAAGGATAGCCCATTAAGCTGGTGTGCTTATTTCCAATGGGGCCCTGTTAACCAAATAGATGGAAACAAGATGAAACCAGAGAGACATTCATTCCTCAAATAAAAATAGACAATGAGATAACCTTCAAATTATTCAATCACAGAAGGTTTGCATTATCACAGTAAGAAAGGCACAGGAAAAAATAAGATAATTAAAAAATAATAAAGTAATATAAAAAATCACTTTGATGTTGCGCAGCCAATATTGAGGCAAGATGGCTTTTAACAGAAGTTTTATATAAAGTTGGATTTGATATACATTTTACATCATCTGGCAAACTATTCCAATCTTTAATACCATTATAGAAAAAGGTGCTATTACTTGTCTTATTACAAAGAGGAATTGAAAAATTAAACTTATTTGATCTAGTGTTGTAGTTGTGTGTATCAGACATCCGAACAAAATTTGTTTTCATATAAGTTGGACACTTATTATAAAAAATCTTATGCATATGATTAAGTCTTAGTTGTTTAACTCTGTTTTCAATATTTAACATGTTAACATCTGTAAAATCAGAAGGAGTTAAACTAGTTCTTGGATGGTAATCTTTTATAAACCTTATGACTTTGTTTTGAGCTACTTGCAGTTTCTTTTTCAGATTTTTATTTAAACTTTCGTACCAGGACGAACAAGAATAGTCAAAATGACATTAGATTAAAGCAGAACAAAGCAATTTTCTACAGTTAAATGATAAACATTTACTGTTTCTGTACAAAAATGTAAGTTTAGTGTTTACTTTAGATATGACTGTATTAACAATTTCTTCTCCAGACAGAAGATTTTCAATTTTCAATCCAAGATGTTCAGTTGTATAGTTAATGGGATTACTTCCCTGTACTTGATATTCATTGATGCTATGTTATATTATATATGATCATGCCTCTCTGATACCTGAGTCATTCTCACTTGAGCTCTGGTCTTAACAACATGTATTAAATGGTTATAATAAATTGTAGAATAGTTTGAATCTTGTTATCATCCATACAACATAACAGTTTCTGAAATTATAAGCATGTCACATAGTTTATCATGAAGTATTTGTTGAAGGTCATCAAATTTATAACGTATACTGTTTATATTTAAATAACTTCTGATTGGTCTTTTTCTATTTTCTTTTCGCATATTGCGGAGTTCGTCAAATATGTCGTATCTAGAGTCACAATCTTCCTGGTCTGTTGATAGTTCAGTGTGTGTTGAAATATTACTGTTGTTAATTGTTGGATCTGGCTCCGGACAGAAACTGTCATTAATATTCACATGGTTATCACAATCAGTCGCTGATATGTTTCTATTTATTGACACCGAGTTTACTGATGTTGGTGATTGTACATCTTCGAACAAAGAGTTTGAGAAATTGAAAATGTCATGGATATTATTATTGCTATTACAAGGTTGGCAGAAGCAGGATTCCCCCGAGTTTCCCAGTTCAGTATATCTGGCCGGTGCGATACCAGCACACTTTATATGTATCCATTTATCACACCAAAATCATTAAATGATCAAATTGAAGAGGTCAAAAGAAGAGAAGCCCGATGGATCAATCTAGATTATGGTCAGACCTTTAAATTCACGGACATACTTCGCTTCCTTAAAACTTCGAAAACTAGAACTCAGACGTATAGATGCTAGGAAAAGAGTCAACTCGGCCCTATACCAACTCGGCACGGGTCAACTCGACACGGGTCAACTCGGCCCACTTTAAAAAAATATATTTAACGTAGTAATATTAAAAAAAAATATCAAACAAAAACATGTTCCGAGCTGACCCGGAATCAGATGCTAGGTTTTATCCCTTTTTTAAAAGATTCAACATAACATGGTCTGGTTGCTGTCCCCATTCAAGAATATATATATGAGACCCCTTTCCCGAACATCACGCCGTGGCCATCATCTGTGCTATTCCTAGGACAGAAGATAACTTCTGCCCCAGGCTATTCACAGCAACCTCAAACTATTATCAAGTCCCCTTCTTTATCACTTTATCCAAGTGCAGTTCAGTGCAGCCATAGCTGGCATTGAACATGTGCCTAATTTTCCGACCCCTTGTATTTAACATTTTCAAATTTCCTTTTTTATCATCTTTTAAACAAATCTTTTTAACTTTTTTGCGATTTTGGAGTACATACATGTCTTCGTTTTACATTAGATTGGAAGATATACTAGATAGTTCTAAGATACATGTACGTGAAAATACCAGAGTTTAGCGCTGTATACCGGATAGCCAACACGGCCATTATCGAATCTTGAACAAAACGAAGTTTCTATTTGTCTACATTATTTAACGATTTACAGGAACTATGGAGGCTATTTTAAACGATATTGTAAATCCAAATGATCTTAAGGTAAAGAAAAACTGATTTCAATATGAGCTTCGTTTAAATGACTTCATTTAACGAGTAAAAATTTGACTTAACTAACATAATTTCGGATAACGAACAATTCGGATATCACGGTTAAACTTTTGCAGGATTGTTCTTTACTTCTTAGAAAAATGAATCATTTTCAGACTGTCAATCGAGATCTCTCTGTATGGAACTGATAGAAAATAGATTGAGATTTTTTCAATGATTTTATGCATGTAATGTTCTGGCTTCCAAAATTTTTTTTAAGCCGATTTTTAACATTTTTTTTGTTTTTCATCTGATGTGGCATTAAGTTTTGGATTAGACCCGTTTCGAAACTTAACCACAATAACTTACGTTGATTTAACCTTATTTTTCATTTGCAAATACACATTTTGCGATAGAAAAATTATTTTAATATCGTTCAGTCGTAATATACCATTTATATTATCAAAATGTTATTAATACCGTCATTAAAAATTGCCTATTTAACTCTGAAACATCAATAATCAATAACTCCAGCTACAGTCAGCCCTAACATTTAGAAGTTGCGCGAGACCTTGTTTGGCGTAATTCGTGGGAACCAATTAGAGTAGAGCCGTGTACTATAATAAGAACATCTTCACTATTTAAAATTAAGATTTATAATGTTTTTATTTATTTCCTTTTATTTTTTAGTATTGAAATAAAAATTTAAATTATACTGAATACAAAAATCGGTAAATCACCTTTTTCAATATCTTTAAAAAAAGTAATTTATAAAAAAGTTGGAAGCACAAAAAAAGTAATTTATAAAAAATTTGAAAGCACATTTGTTCTGTTTTCTAAACCGTTCGCGCAGATTAACCCATAAAGGTCGAAAGTGTGTTTATAAGCTAATAGCTTCCTACACAATCGAACTAAAATAAATTCTGTATAAAAACCAAATGTCAATCTCGTTATCACATGGACAAACATTTTTGCAATATGGCAGCCAAGTGCTGAATTTATTACCTGTCCGAAACTGTTAGGTAGTTTATGTTTATAATGTCCATCCTTGGCTTACCAACAGATTATATATATAGTTTTATCAAGGTATGCTTCACATTACTTCATGGCATGTTCAATGAATGTATACAAGCATGCCAGATTCCTGGCATGATTATTGGTGGACTTTCCCTACTGGTCTGTCTTCAGCGCTCATGTCGTGTCGTAGTATATAAACAGTACGCTGAAGACCTCAAGCTTATATGCTATGTATGTCACTGTATAATGATATAAGTTCAGTTCATTTTATTGTGACTATTCCCATCTGACTCAGAGGGCAAAGTTCCATCAGATCATCATCATCTATTCTTGTGGAATATCCTTAAGTTTTAAATTCATAGATTTTTTTCAAATAATTCAATTTAAAAATTGTAAAACTTGTGGGTAGAGTTAATTCTCTTATTCATACAGTTTTTCCGACTTTAAAAAAAATTTATACAGATTTTTACTACAATGCATTTGTTAAACAAAAAAACACATGTTTATGTTTTTGGTAAAATCTATTATTATTCAAGTAAAAGGTCATAAGTAGTGAAGGTCCATCAATTGTTATTATATTGTATCACATGGTACAGCTCTGTACTGCATTAGCCTATTAGGTGTAATTCCCAAGAGCTAAATCAGTAAAGTACTTTTTACAGTTTATAGTCAAGGATTTCAAAAAGGTCACTCACAAGATGATGAATCAGTAATTGAGTCAACATTTTTTTCCTCCCAACCTTTTACTATATATAGTACTAATATTCATATGTTAATTGTTTCAGAAATTTAGACGGATGTATGAAGATCAGTCTAGTCGAGGTACACCAAGTGAAAAAGCTCAGTTTGAGTATGCTATATGTCTTGTCCGAAGTAAACCAGATGTTGATATCAAACATGGCATTGCTCTTCTAGAAGGTAATTGTTAAATCAATCTGAGATAACCTGCTAAATTTGTGAAATGGATTGGTCCAGCTTAGAAATTGGAACAGTATGTTTGAATTTTATAGGATTTCAATATCAAAAGGATAAAATTGAGTCGCCATTGTGACCAACAGTGTAGAGCCTGGTTTGACTGCACAGATGTGCTGCTGGTAAAGTCTAATCACTTTTAGTTACAGCACAAAAAGTGGTAACATAACATAATAGCATACATTTATATTTCTACATGACAATAAGATTTTTACTACAATGCATTTGTTAAACAAAAAAACACATGTTTATGTTTTTGGTAAAATCTGTTATATTATTATTCAAGTAAAAGGTCATTAAGTAGTGAAGGCCCATCAATTGTTATTATAATGTATTATATTGATGCCAGTATTTGATGTAAGCAGTGATATATTTATAGTAAAGGTAAAATCTTTTTTTTTCACATTGCATATCTGGTTTTAGTGTCTAAGATATATTCAGTCAAAAAGAACTTTAACCCATTACTTCATGAGCATTTTGTGAAAAATGGCTGTTTTCATTGAAAAGTCTCCCGTTACAAGTTCAAATTGCTATAAAACTATAAAAACTGCTTCAATACTAATCAAACTTGGCACAAATATTGACTGGACCATTGCCTTTGTAACAACATGCCCAGGCTTAAATTTCCTGTTACCATGGCAATGAGGGGACATCACAAAATTGCAAAAAATCACTATTTTGCGTTGATTTTTTCCATCAAAATTGATTTCAAAGTGCTGCAACTTCTCAATGGATTGAGATAGGGTCAAATGCTTTTCAGTGTTGGTTACATGTTACCTTCTGTTTGATCTGGGGTCATTTTTAGCCTCTCACAAGTCCAAAATTTTCTTGGCGATGAGGGGGACTGCCGTCTCCTTCAAACCCCCCAAACAGAAGGGGGCACATCCCCCTTCTGGCAACCCCCTGATGTATCTTGGTTGGGTGGTCACCTTTTTTAAAACAACATTTCTCAAACAAAAACAAGTGTTGGGGGCCTAAATAAGGCATTTTTCACCATTTGAGACAACAAAAAAGGGGGGTGAAAAAGGTGTGTATATCGTGTTATGGGTTAAAATATGATATCACATGTATATATATTTCTTTATCCTTGAATTATATTTCTAATTCTAAGATTTCTATTTGTAGAAAAAGTAGTGTCATGTGCAAATTTATCAAGGTGGTTTCTAGCTGATAATATACTTAGACTAGTGGTACTAACTTAAAAGAGCCTTTGCTTGTAAACTTATAATGTCACCATTAAGGCCGTAACACTTAAGATAGTACTTTAAAATAAACCTAAAAAGAAGAAGTCATTATAAAAGCAAATCTTCATTTTTGAATATTTTATTCAGAATAGATGTTAGTTCTTCTTTTGAATAAATATTAATGCATTGGACCTAGTGATTCCAAAGTTGAGATAAGTTGAGATTTTAATACATTTTTTTGTAAATGGAACTGGTTTATGCATGTAGGTCAGAAAACAGAAAATAATAGCACCTGCTGTCTGTATACTTCTATAACCATGTTTTATCTCAACTTTGAAATTAGTAATTGTTGTTTTGAAATTAAGAATAAAATTTGATTTTTCAGATTTATTTAAAAGATCATATGACACATCCACTAAAAGAGATTGTTTATATTATCTGGCAATGGGAAATACTAGAGCAAAGGTACAGTACCTTATATGTATAATTTGACTTAATGAACATATTTAACGTCTATGTACACAATCTTTAGCAAGTGATATAAATATACATGTTTAAAATGTGCTATGCAACTTGTTTTTGGGTCTTACAGGCCAAGTGGTTAAGGTTTTTGACTTCAAATCACCTGCCATCAGTGCTTTGGGTTTGAATCCTGCCATGGACTTTGTATTGATTGATGTGAGGAAGCTTATAAAATGTTAGTGGCTCTACCAGTGTGCCCTTTTGCTTGAAATAATGCACAGAGGGACACCATCCTTAAGTCAGCCTCCACCCCTAAAGCTAGAAAGTAGCTATGTAAACATGACAGTGTTGTTGTGACTTAAACTCTAATAAATCATTCACTCTATCATTCATTGTATCAGTCACTGTATCAATTAATCTAGTAGAGAAAACAATATTTATTTTAAATCAAACATAAATATGTAATGTAATTTAAAAAAAAACAATATTGAATGGAAAGCTAAACTTTTTTTTAGAAAATCTCTAATATTAAATCCTATGCAGTGTGTAAGGACATCCACATTGTCATTCTAACAATGCACCAGTAATTTATAAGTGGTTTGTTTATAATTAGCAGGTGTTAATCATGTGGAAAGCATTCTAGGTTGTGATATTTTTGAAAACATCTATAATCAATGTTAAAGGGACTCCACTGAGGTTTTTTGCTATGGTGGTACTGAAAATAAGTTTCCAAGAGTAATATTCCATTTTGATGATGAACTAGACCAATAACTTTTGTGCACAATTTCAGATCATTTGCTTTCTCAGTTCTTTCAGAATATTTATTCTAATTGTAAAAAAATGGTCCTAAATTAAAAAGCGATGCAATGACTTTCACTCAAAACGGGTTACATACATGTATGAAATTTATTTCAAGGTATTCTTCTTAATTATTTTTTGCATATCTTTCTGTCTTCAGTGGCCCAGATAATCTTTGTATAAATTCAAATTTTGAATTTTTTTGTTTTTAGGCTTTTGGACCCCAGTACTGTCAATTAATATGATATTTTATAGCAAATATTTCATCAGTGAATGTTTGGTATATTAATCTCACTGTTATTAAAATGCTATACAATTTATGAGCTATGTAACTTAATGCCATACAATTTATGAGCTATGTAACTAAATGTCATACAATTTATGAGCTATGTAACTTAATGCCATACAATTTATGAGCTATGTAACTTAATGCCATACAATTTATGAGCTATGTAACTTAATGCCATACAATTTATGAGCTATGTAACTTAATGCCATACAATTTATGAGCTATGTAACTAAATGCCATACAATTTATGAGCTATGTAACTTAATGCCATACAATTTATGAGCTATGTAACTAAATGTCATACAATTTATGAGCTATGTAACTTAATGCCATACAATTTATGAGCTATGTAACTAAATGTCATACAATTTATGAGCTATGTAACTTAATGCCATACAATTTATGAGCTATGTAACTAAATGTCATACAATTTATGAGCTATGTAACTAAATGTCATACAATTTATGAGCTATGTAACTTAATGCCATACAATTTATGAGCTATGTAACTAAATGTCATACAATTTATGAGCTATGTAACTAAATGTCATACAATTTATGAGCTATGTAACTTAATGCCATACAATTTATGAGCTATGTAACTAAATGCCATACAATTTATGAGCTATGTAACTTAATGCCATACAATTTATGAGCTATGTAACTAAATGTCATACAATTTATGAGCTATGTAACTTAATGCCATACAATTTATGAGCTATGTAACTAAATGTCATACAATTTATGAGCTATGTAACTTAATGCCATACAATTTATGAGCTATGTAACTAAATGTCATACAATTTATGAGCTATGTAACTTAATGCCATACAATTTATGAGCTATGTAACTAAATGTCATACAATTTATGAGCTATGTAACTTAATGCCATACAATTTATGAGCTATGTAACTAAATGCCATACAATTTATGAGCTATGTAACTTAATGCCATACAATTTATGAGCTATGTAACTAAATGTCATACAATTTATGAGCTATGTAACTTAATGCCATACAATTTATGAGCTATGTAACTAAATGTCATACAATTTATGAGCTATGTAACTTAATGCCATACAATTTATGAGCTATGTAACTAAATGTCATACAATTTATGAGCTATGTAACTAAATGTCATACAATTTATGAGCTATGTAACTTAATGCCATACAATTTATGAGCTATGTAACTAAATGTCATACAATTTATGAGCTATGTAACTAAATGTCATACAATTTGTTTATTTCTTTTTTTTCCAGAATTATCAAGAGGCCTTGAAATTTACAAATATGTTTTTAAAAATAGAACCAGCAAATCAACAGGTTCAACAACTACAAAAACATATTAAATCAAAAATGAGAAATGGTAAGTTAACATTTAATTTATCTTTCTTCTATTTCTGTTTTTAATTAAATCGTTAAGTGCCATACTATACTGAAATAATAATCAAAAACCAGTGACTTGAGTAGTTTGTTTTGCTTCATTTAAAAGTATTTGCTGGTAAGTGAACATTAAACAGAACAGCTTGGGTTCACAGTTCTATCGTTATAAGGCAAAATGTGTAAAGTTTACATAGATTTAGTTGAACATATAACTGTAACCTATAACTAAGGAATTACTTCTCCTATTTCCCACTAGTTACACTGCTCCATTATTATAATATATACAGAGTTTAACTCTAGCCCATCACTAGTACTATAATTCTAAGCAACAAGGTTACAAGAAAATTTGTACAACAATGTAGTATACAAAAAATATCATCTGTATATAGCTAAATAGCTTAATCTAATGTGTATTTTATATTTACAGAGGGGTTAACTGGAATGGCAATAATTGGAGGTGCAGCACTAGCAGTTGGGGGACTTATTGGATTAGTTGTTCATGCTGCCAAGAAATAAAACATCAGAACCATTTTTTAGATGTATTTCAAGTTTTATCAATTAATTGATTATTTATGTATACATTATTGGCGTAGAAATTAACAATATTGATAAAAACAAATTGAGAAAAAACAGTTAAATAGATACATCATCACCTTGGTGCAATAAAGGGTTAAATTCTCATATAATTGAATAGGAGTTAACTTATTATTGCACTAAGGTGATGACATATTTGTCACTTGAAACCCTTCATTGCATTAGAAAAGTACAATATCACACAGTGAATGAATGATTTATTGAAGAAAAAAAAGATATATATATATATATATATATATATATATATATATTATTATAATATGTTTAAATGAATGCTTTTTATGCATCTATCACAAGTCTGGCCCCACCACACCATGGACAGTACAAGCAACTTAATCTCCTCACTGTAACATCACTGTCATCTCAAAGCAGATGGAAGGCGTGGTTGGGTTTAGCACCAGGATGACAGCATTGATGTCAACCTTGCAGTTCAGTTTTTACTATTTGACTAGACTATTCCCTTAGAGCAGAGCATTTTCCATGGGTTTGAAAATTAAAACTAAAAATCTCTACTGTTCCCAGGCAGTGGTTGGGCCAGCTTTACATTAGCCATGGGTAAATGAATGATAGAAACCGATTGGATGAATAATTTGTGACATTTTTCTAAAATAGAGTGGGAAAATAGTGTTTATTATACCTGGCATGAATGGGAGTACATGTATTAAAAATATGTGTATATGTAACCTGCTTATATAAACCATATGAATGATTCCAGTTCATTGATAGATTTTCAAATTTTAAGAAGGATGCCCCTAGATTGTCATACAGGATCATCAATATTTCAAGTCTGCCATTTTAAATGCCTACAAGGGACCATGGTTAAATATAGATAAAAAATGTTGCTATTGTTAAGTTAAAGTCTCAGGTGTCCAAAGTCTCAGATGCACTTGAGGTTTTACTTTTTCAAGTCATGTATGTAACAATTTGATTCAATGGGGTATTGGTTCATTCTGTCTTAAAGACTGTATGTTAATTTATATTGCTAATTTCTTTTTTTCTTCTTTTTTTTTGAAAAGGTATACAGTTGATATATTTTAAAAACTTTTGTAATTTATCAATTAATTGATAGTCTGATCAGGATCCATGCTGTTCGCTATCAGTTTCTCTACTTGTTTTAGGGTTTGTAAGCGAACAGCATGGATCCTGATCAGACTGGGAGGATGCGCAGGCTGGTCTGGATCCATGCTGGTCGCAAACACAAAACGTTGGTTTTGTCATGGCGCAGATCAATTATTTTGTATAAACCAACTATCAATAATGCAATATGAATAATTAATACTGACAGATATTTACATTAAGCAGATCTGAAAGCCCTGGTAGCAATTATAACAATATATTGTTATTTATTAATGCATAATACTTTAACCCTTGTCATACTGAATATCGTAACTGGACTTGTCCATCTTTTAAAGTGGATAAAACCATTTATCATTTTTAGGGTAAATTTTCAAAGTATGTACCCACTGAATAGCAAACAGTGCAGACCATGATCAGAAGGCACAAATATGCTGGTTGACCTGGTCTGCACTGGTCGCTCGGCTAGATTCAGTCACCATGAGTAAAGTAAGGGTTAAACTATGTACATTTGAATGGTTGTTTGAGATCTTTTTATCTTTATTGTATTTATATGATTATAAAATTATGTAATTTAAATATTGTGATATGTGATAGAGATTTATGTAATGAGTGTTTTAGATGAAAAAAAAATGAATATTTGTGCAATACATACATGACTTACTTGCATCTTTTAACTTGCTATACAGTGTCATTTGTACACGAATGCCTTAACATCTCTTGCAAAATTGTTTAAGCATAACTGACTGTAACTTTAATAAATGTAGAAGAAATTTAAAGAAAATCAAACAACTAACCTTTATTAATTTACGTTTACATAGTTTTCAAAGGAAATTGAAAGTGGTAAAAACATGTACTAATATGTACTTTTGTAATTCCTTATCTAATACTTAGTGAATCCACTCTTTGAATGAATATTTGGAAGAGATATTAGTGTTGATCATTATCAAAGGCTTTTTAAACCTTGTCCTGTTTAAACTGAAATGACTGTCCGCTTCCACCAGTAAACAGGCTATATACTGTTGGTTGGCAAATTTTAAATTTTCATCTTATTTTCTTCTCATTTGATAATGGACAGTTTCCAAGAAATAGGAAATGCAAAAGTCTGTTTCCAGATCATCAGGTATATACCATAGTTAATAGAACCCATTATTCGTGAAATTACATATACAAAAAGAGATTTAAATAAAAATGTTTAATTAGATAGCAGGGACAGTAAATGAGTTTTGGTCACTTTAAGCAAGTCAATGTTATTGCCTTTTGTCTTTATAATTTATATTTGTACTTTAATTTTTAGTATTTTTGATGCATGTTTTATTGTTATATTTGCTATTTCAAAAATGGAGGGTTAAGATGTATATGTGTATTAAAGTTGTCACAACTTCATGATTAAGATACGAAAATTGTAAATTCCCTATTTATTATTGATATTTTATGTGTGTGAAAAATAAAGAAGTAAAACATTCATGAGAAAAAATTAACATTAGATTTGTGTGTTGTAGTACATATTTGGAACACATCACTCAGTTTTCTGGTATTTTCTAAGGGAAAGTTTAATCAAAACTCTGTGGCACCCCTGTGTTCCTCCAATAGTAAAGCTGGAAAGTTGCTATATGACCATTAAAGTGTTAGTGGACCAAACAATATAGCTAGAAAGTCAGAGAAAGTTTTTCATCTGATTATTTGGGACACACCTGAATTATTTTTGGCTGTGATTAGCTCATCTGTTCTCAGAGGTGAGCTTTTGAAGTACATGCACATGTATCTTTCATTATCTTGGGTTATTCACAATTTCCTTCAACTTCTACTTAACCACAGACAAGAATTTGACTTCTCTGCAATGATCCAGAGGTGACCCTCTACAAAGAATTAAGTAAATGGTTCTAGCCTTGTATATTGGCCAGCCACAGGCTCATAAAATATACAAGTTAAAATCTTAGAAATCCCAAGATCTTAATTTCAAGGACGAAAATATTAAGCATATAGCATACAAAATTTGCACCGATCATGCCGCTCTATGACTTTTGGATCACTAAGTCTCAATAAGCGCTTTTAAATCATCTTTGCAAGTGCATGCAACAGTATCTATTGGACCACAACAAAAGTTATACAAATCATGTAGTCAAACCTATGTTAAAGAAATTTTTTTTAATAAAGTCTATTCTGTGACAACCCTTCATTGATTGTAATGATTAAAATAACCAAAAACACAAGACTTCAAGAATAATACTTTGTCATTAATGATAACAATTCCAACAATAAATAAATATATATATATATATAATTTACTATAACATGTTCATATAACAGATTTACTTATGGACATTTTTATTTCATAATATTATATAGGAAAGATCTGAACTATAAATACATATACAGTTTTTTCCATTAATTAAGGTGATCAATTCGTAGAGTTAAAACAATCTACTTTCTGAAACAAAATTTTACACCCAATTCAGCATATATATTAGCATATACATGTATACATAATCTAAAATTAAAAATAATCTGACAGGACCTGTTCTTGGACAATATACATGTAGCTCCAAATTAGTCTGATTAAAGCATGGAAAATGTGTCAACTGTAATCTACTTTTTGCTATAAATGATGCAAGATACTCGTATATATAGAAACCAAAATAAAGCATTAAGGTGATATTGAACTTCAAGACTATACGTCGATGATGATGATGATGGCGAAGATGACGACGGGATTTGCGTAGATATGGACAAATGTCAGTCATTGTAATGTAAATCATTCAGCTTTTTTCTTTAAACATGACCATCTACGTTTTGTTTGAATCTGATGTAGACAGAAATTTTGGATAACTGTTTGCAAGACATTTGAAATTGCGACGATAATACAAGACTAAAATATTTAGATCTTTTTGCTGTCCTCATTCTGAACCCCTTGGGAGCATTTAGGAAACTTGTGAATCTTTGACCTATATCTTTGGTCTGTTTAAGTAACTGTAAAAAAATTCTCCTTACTTTGGCTTTTTTTGCAGCAAATGTCCTTATTCTAAAAATTAAGCTACATGTTACAATTGCCAAAAATGAAAACGCCCTGAAAATCCTTAAAATTTCGCACATAATTGATTTTTTAGAAATAATATTTAAAAGAAATACCATTTATTATGTGAGGAGAACACTTAAAAAAGCTACATGCCTCCAGATGGGTCAAAATTTTTCAATAAAATCAAACTTAAGAAACATTTACTAAATTTTTAGGAAAGTAAAATGATTCAAGATTCAAGTAATATTTCACATGTTCTGTGCGATTAATGACTTATTTTTCAGTATTTACAATTATTTTTCTACTGCGTTACTAACGCAGTAAGGGATTTTGTGCATATTTTGACCACATTTTTTGTAATTTACGTGGGTTGTAAGTGGCATTGATAATGGGTAAATTGCTTCATTTTGGTTACACACAATATTAAACATTCAGATACATTTTCAAAATTTTCATGAAAATTAGAAAGAATCTGGAGGCGTGCTGCTTTAAATCTAGAATGTTAGAATAATGATTGTTTATAGAGTAAACCATTTAACCTATTTCATAAAATGTCCCAGCTAAGGATAAATCATATCGCCTGAGCGCGCATAATGGTTTTCGAAAACAAAAACATTATTTATAATAAGTGTGTTTATTCTTGCACACTGTCAGCGTCGTCTATGCTAGACGTCCCAACTTTCTTCAACAAAGACGCCATTTGTTCAGGATTAAGGCCAGGTAAAAGACCCATTTCCGGAGCAACATTGTTGTCGTCTGCATCGCTGTCGTTGTTACTAGTTGCCTCACCTTCTGGTGCGTGTTGGCTCATGAATGATTGCATTTGTTCAAGGTTAAGACCTGGCAATAAACCGGAAGCAGGAGTTTCATTTTCGTCAGTTTCACTCTCTGCAATGCTTTCTTTGTCCGTTTCATTTCCTATTTTACTCATTAATGACGCCATTTCTCCGGGATTCAACCCAGGAAGCAAGCCGGAACTTTGACCAGAATATATGTCGCCATTATCTTCGCTTACACTGTGATCTGACCCATCATCAGCCTCGTTGCCTAATTTAGTCATGAATGTGCTCATTTCATCTTCATTTAATCCCGGTAAAAGTCCAGTTGGTCGAGTTTTATTGTCGTCTGCTGTGTCACTGTGACTGTCACTTTCACCTGCGGTAGAAATGCTAGGGCGTGACATTAATGTGCTTTCCGTTGGCATAATGGCAGCTCGGCGTCCATGTCTTACAGGCGCTTGAACTTGCTTGATTTTGGAACCAGCAGACCCTTTCAAAGCGTCCCGGCGTTTTTGGCGCATGCGCGCAAGATTAAGCCGAACGTCATCTGGAAAGCAAGAAATAGGTTGCATGATGCCGGCTCGCCACGGCGAGCCGGTATTACGATAGGATTTTACTGAGAAACAACCTAAAACTCCGAATCAATCCAAAAATTTAATCGAAGCTTAGCTTCCAGCTTTCTACAAAATTTATCTATCAGGGCTAGGATCCAAAATTATTTAGCCAATCAAATTTGATCTTATATAGCGTCAAAAAACCTTCAATTTTCACGCCATTTTTAAAAAGCAGCAAGTATTGTTTTGAGCGCAAAGATATATTGATGATTAAAATGTTTGTTTTCATGGATTCTTTTCAGTAAATCATATTTACACTGACTTTTGATTTAGCGATGTCACCAGTCCTGTTTACTCTGTAGTAAGTTTTCGTTTGGTTAATTAACATAAACGACATCTGGTTCTGTGCATTTTTTTCTTTTTCCTTTTTTCCGGTCATTTTATCCTTTCCGGTATTTAGTGTATGTATTTACTGGCCGATCCCGGGATCCGGGATCGTATAAGATAATAAGGGTAAAAACTAATAAACTATATTTGTGTTGATTATTGTCGTAATGAAAGGCCATTAAACGTTAAGTTTTTTTATTGTATGTAATGAAAGTTAAATTGATTTAACTTAGGATATAGATATATTTAGAGCTATTTATTAACAAAATCACAATATTTATAATTATATGCCTAATTAATTGGAAAAATCAAAGACTATATTCTTGAATTGGTCAAATCCAGGGATCCCTATATACGATCCCGGCTTTTCTGAAAACAATATTCTTGAACTGTCCAATTCCTTGGATCTCTTAATTTTTTAATATGATCCCGGCTTTTCTGAAAACAATATTCTTGAACTGTCCAATTCCTTGGATCTCTTAATTTTTTAATAGGATCCCGGCTTTTCTGTATGAATTGATAGACAACTTGTGTTTACTTTAGGACTTGTATCTGTCACTTATTCCAATACTAAATAACATATTACAACTTAACTTCGTATAAAGAGACATTTTTATGAATTCTACTTATCTATTTTTTTCTGGTCAAGGTCAACAGGCCATATAGTAAATGTGCATAGACATAGGGACTTCATTCTATCTGTTTACATCTTCATATATACTCATATTCCTCTTTGTTAAACTGAGAGGACTGGCTTCCTTAACTTTATATGTCACTTTTATTTTGATGTTCGCTGAAATCTTTTCAGCTAACAGAACTGTCATTTTTACATTTAAACACGCCACTGGAAAGAAATTACGAAGCGAGTCGCTACTAGCTTTTTTAAAAGCTAACCTTGTAATCAAGTAAAGCAGATATACGATGCTTTATATATTCAACCGATAACTATAATTGCAAAGCTAAATGCATTTCCCCGGCAAAATTACTAAAATTCTATGGTCAGTAATTTGTTATTCTTAGAATAATTATAAATAGATACAAAAATATTGTCGTAAATACATTTAAAGAAATAAAAAGAGGCAATACTTCAAAATGTCACAATTTTTTATAGAGAACAATTAAAGACAATAAACACCTACTTAGAAAAAGTAAAAACATGTAATGCCATATCCGAATAAATATATAAAATGGTTATATATCACACTCTAGTACACTAAAGTCTGGTAACAAAATAAGAAAGTGAAAAGTTAAAAAGAAATTTTAAGAAAATATTAAAATAACGCTGCCTTTGTTCTATACACAAACTATAAGTATAAATATTTGAATCTACCGACCTAATTTCCCGCGCATGCAATTTGTATTGGTATACATTTAAAACTGTCTCCACTGAAGTACAGAATAAATTCGAACATAGCGAATTCTTTAACATAAATTCAATTTTTGGGATACATAATAAACCACAGATTTAATTATAAATTGGCTATTTTATAATTTTAATTGCGGTTTCTATAACAAATCGCAGATTTTGATTTGTAAAATATATAAACTGCAGATCAGTACTGCTTTTTATAGAACAAATTGAATACTGGTACATAAAATTATACATGTAGTTTGAATACAACAAAGGCCAAAGAGTTATTAATAATTATAAACTTGAAGCAAATCATTATACAGCGTTACCCTGGTATTTAGAATGTCTACACACTATAACGGAAGTATAACAAAGAAATAAATTTAATTAGTTAATAAATAAAAAAGAACAAGGGATATTCTTCATTCGAAATTGTGATTAGAGCAAAAGCAAAATTACTTATTTTGTATTATGATTTCCTTATTTTTCCTCAAACAATTTCAAAGAGGTTGTTCATTTAAACACTGAGCTCATAGAAACAACGGCTTGCATCGGTGTGTCGGGACTTGTGCCCACGCGGCCAGTATTCCTTAAATTACTAATATGATGCATTAAGCACTCGGCTATGCCGCCACTTATTTCATCATGTGTCAGTGTAATTTCATTTGATTGTGTTTCAAGGGAAACCGAACTCTGTAACTGTCCTGTCATATGCTGACTTCCCCAGTTTCAAGATCTCAGAGGCCCGGCCATGTCAGAAGTAAAACCACTGGCCTTTCATAGCTGGATAACTTCCTCAAACAGTCGATTTTTTGTCCGTAAAAAGCTCAAGACAGGATTTTGATTTTCAAAAATTACTAGTTATCAGCCAATAAATATAAAATAAACAAGATTAATATGTTACAAGATTTAACTTTAGACCATTGTGCGCCCAATCTTTTTTTTTCTTTGCGCTCGAGTTGTGTCATACGGGTTCAACACTAAATAAGCTTGTCGTCAAGGGAGGTAACTTGAGTAACCCTTTATCTGCTCATTTTTTATTTCAATATATCAAAATACAAATATTCTATTACTCAATACTTCATTATCTATACTCATGCGTGGAAGAGACCACCAATTACTGGCTTAACTATCATATTAGATTATTAGTAAATCTTGTTTGCTGCAGAAATACACTGTTACATTATTACATGTTATTGTGTTTTTATTATAATTAACTTATTATCTACTCTGTTTTTGAAGTCACATTCTTTTTAATTAAAATTCTACAAAATATGTTAACATAAATTATTTTGTTTGAGACAAATGTTTATAGAATATCCTGTTAATTAAAGGATATAAATTAATCACATGTAGTTCGTGTAAATTCGAAGAAATTCGTAACTCTCCGTATGGATAAAAAGCGTCGATATGACAAATCGTACCAAAAGGGTATATGTTCATACGGAAAATCACGAAGTTAGCCTATTGTTAGGTGAATCAAAAACAGAGTAACTATTATTTATATTAATACAACTAATCTGGCTAAGTTAGAGTATTATTCGCTGAAAAACTAAATTAATGAAATAAAATAGAAAAGGTTATTGATTAATAAGCTAAATAAAAAACAAAATGGGGTGAAAACATGTTGAAATCAAAACAAAGAAATATTAAAACAACCACGTGGATCTGGATAACATAATTAGCTCGTGTTCGCACGTGATTATGTACGCTCCATGCACACATTTACTTACAACATCTAAACTAACACGTGATTTATTATGCCACGTGATTTACTAATTTGATTTTTGTTCCCGTGCTGAATGAATTCTCTGTCGTATTTGACTAATGTCGACTGAAAAACAAGCATGTTAAGTAAATTATTAATTAATCAGTTCGTTTAAGTAACCAACTCCCAAAAAATTAATAAGAATGAACATGCTCAGCATTGCTGTAAAAGTCATTCCTAAAAAGCCGAAAAGCAATGTAGCAAGGCACTATAGAGACTTCACTAATGTTTAAAATAAATTAAACCATAACAAGTATTTATTTTATTTTATTTTTCATCCAAAATGCATTTATGCTTTGTGATGAAGGAACTTTTTGCGTCCTCTTTTTGATTTTTGAAGTGAGAGGTGATTATTTAGTTCGTTATCATGAGAGATTTTGGACGTGAAAGTCCTGTAATGAAATGGCCCGGTCAAACTGCACGAATGTGCCAGCATGTGTGACCCTATTTTGGCGGCAAACACGTGTTGTATCATAGCTTTCTGATGTTGTAATATTTATTATTTTACTAAACTTTAGACATAAAACTCACAGAAATCTAGAATGGCGTGTATTGATATGTGTTTTTTTTGTCAAAGACAGGCGCTTGCAAAAAAGTATAAAGAATGTAAAGATGTTTAGATATTTAGTGTTTTATTTGATTAAAAAAGTTTAAGGTATACATCCATCACAGGCACATTTCACCACTTTCCGTTTCTAGGAAACACATACATGTAATATAGTGAGCGCCGATTACAAAGGTCGAAAAAATATTTATATACGGAATATGACGGAATGTGACGGAGATTGCCGATCTTTCAACAAGCTTTTGATGGATATAGAACCTTAAGAAGAGAAAGTTTGAATCATTTCCGAATCTCCCAAAGTAATGCTAAAGCTTAGGAAAATATAGTTATAGACATTATTTTAACCAAGAAATAAAGTTTGATAAAGTTATTATCAGTTTTAATAATAGAAAAGATACAAGTCACTGAGGAGGAAAGCACTAGTTTCGATTTTAATTCTTTGTCAATGTTTCGATTGAAAAACAGATCGAAAAATAACAAACCGACAGCTCCTTTTATTGTAAGCATAAAATATAAGTAAATAAATCTATAAAATTTATAAAATATTAAGAAAAAGACATGACACCAGAAAATTTAATGACTACAAAATCTTCGTGAATACCTTAAAAACATACAAGTGTATTAAAATCAGTTATTTGAGTTCTATTATTTTTCATAAACATCGAAATAGAAACTTAATTAATTGCTTAATTTTCCATTTACTTATTTATGGCATGATGTCATGAATATTTCGTCATACATTCCGAATACAAATGCCTGTCATTCAAAGATATCAATTCATTCAAAATGCCCATTTCTAACAACTCAACGTGAATTGTAAAAATATAGATATCTTTCAGACTTTACTAAACTCTACAGTCAACCCTGTGTAAAATTCCATAATTGAAAAAGAAATTCTGCCAGCACCTTTAAAAAAGAAAATATTTCACTTAGAATGTCTACAGTAAACAGGCACCTTTCAACTGAGCGGTTTACCGTTTCCAAATGTTGGTCTTTCTACAGGTTTGACTGTATTAACATAAGTATGCTCTGACAATGTCAGTTGTTTTAAGATATTGAAGTTCATCTAAAAGATTGATACAGTCATTTGTTTAAAGATATTGAAGTTTATCTAAAAGATTGATACATTCTCTAAAAAGTGGATAAATAAATATAACATGAAATATAGTTATCCTTATCTAACGACACTACTTTGTTTATATAAATCATGGATGGGTCTTATCTAACATGGTTTCTTGTTTTTTTTACTCAATATTTGCACATAAAGCACAAAGTGGCATTATGCTTATTTTTTCGTAGGAGTTGAGCTGCATTGGTTATGTATTTTAAAAGATTGACTATGATAATGATCGATGAAAAATATTTAGGATAAAATATCAAACTGTATAAAATATAAAAAGACTGTCCCACTCTTTTTTACTGTCAATTGAACGTAAACGTTACATTCTGAAGAGTATTTAAAGATTTTTTGTAAGTCACGTGGGTTATTGAATAAAAAGTATGGCAAAATCTAAAGTTATTTTGACTTTGACCTGTATACTTGAAAGAGCATACTGTCACCTTGATAGAATTAGTAAAACAAAAAAGAACCAATAATTTGTTTTCGTGTTTTTTTGTTGTTGTTTTTTTAATTATATTTCTTAAATTCAAAGGTTATTGCAGAATCACGACATACCTCGTTTCTTTTCACGTGGCTGCACGAGGAACGCTGTGTCTATTTCATCATTACACTCTACGCACGGGCGCGTGGCCATCCCTTGAGTCTCTTTCGGCGTCAACCACTCACCGGTGAATGACAAGAGTTTACAGTTCGGACACTCCATCAACCGTTCCACTAGAACACCTGTATCAAAAATGTAGTCTTATTTTCAATATATTTACTAGTATAATGTATTTTATTTTGGACAATCAGATCATTAAAACACCTTAATACATGTCATTTATTTCCAAAATCATATTTTAAAGAAACCTACAAAAACATGCAAACAATTTTTTAACGTTCCGGACCCTCGTTAATTTGCACCCTATATAACCGAAGCATAGAAAAGGCAACTTTCTTTAAAATCATGTAGTTTTTCCAAATATCTGAACTTACAACAGCTTTTTTACCTCCAAAATTAGCAGTTTTAGCGATAACTTTCCCCAAAATCAAGATGCTAAGGCCTCTTCCTTAAATTAAGATAAAAAATACTAATTTCGTGCTCTGAATGTTGTAAATTTCGCCCTGCACTTTCTATACACAGAGAAATTACTCCTACATTATTTAAACATTTTTGTTACTGTAAAACTGAAAACGTGATTTTGATGGTAAGTGTCCGTGATTTTACCAGTGTAAGAATGTAGAAGCTCCTCAAAGTCCATCAACAACGGGAGAAGAATGGTCCACATGGCTGCTGCAGACACATGATCCGCATGCGGGTCCGAGCCATGGTCGTCTCGGAATTCAAACCTCATTGTGGTCCCGTGGTCGGTCTCATGATTTTGGTAAGTGAACATTACCTGCAACAACAGCACATGTATTTTTAAAAGAAAATCTTTATCAAACGTTTTTTTCTTTCTTTCTGTGCAATTCTTAAAATTATTGATATGAATACATTTACACAAGTTAAAAAAATATCAAGTCAAATAAATTGTAAATTTTATCGTCAAAAATATAATTTGTTTTTGTTTATTCCACCATTGGATATAAATTACACTAAGTAAATAAATGTCAAGTCAAATGATTTATATATTTGATCGTCAGAAATACAGAGTTTTTTTTTTTAATTCTATCGAATATTTCTAGTTTACTAAGTGTATCATTTAACCTCACAGGTGAGCACTAGAGCATATTCAAAACAAGAGCCGGTTGAACCGGGTGATGCTCCCCGAATAAGTTTTGGACACAGGAAGGTATACCTCTTGTTGTGTCAGAGTTATGTCACAGACAAAGTTCAAAGTGTAAAAACAACCCAAATATTGTGCACGACACATTGTCTAAATATGGTGATCATTTTTGTGAAATAGTTGTAAAATCCGATTTCAAATAACAAAGTTATGCGCCTGACATTATTTTGCTGCAAGGTCATGCTGTGACCTTGACCTTCAACGTAGTGACCTAAATGTTGCATGCGACACGTCGATTCAATATGGTGATCATCTCTGTGAAATAGTTGTTAAATCCGACTTCCAGTAACAAAGTTATGGGCCGGACACAATTTTGCTGCAAGGTCATACCGTGACCTTGACCTTCAAGGTAGCAACCCAAATGTTGCGCGCGATACAATGTCTCATTGTGGTGATCATTTCTGTGAAATAGTTGTAAAATCCGACTTCAAATAATGAAGTTATGAGCCGGACACAATTTTGCTTCAAGGTCATGCTGTGACCTTGACCTTCAAGGTAGCGAGCCAAATGTTGCGCATGACACGCCATTTTAATATGGTCATCATTTCTGTGAAATAGTTTAAAAATCTGACTTCAAATAAGGAAGTTATGGGCCGGACACGATTTTGCTGCAAGGTCATGCTGTGACATTGACTTTCAAGGTAGCGACTTAAATGTTGTGCATGACACGTTATCTTAATATGATGATCATTTCTGTGAAATACTTTTTAAATCTAACTTCAAATAGGGAAGTTATGGGCCGGACACGATTTTGCTGCAAGGTCTTGCTGTGACCTTGACCTTCAAGGAAGCGACCAACATGTTGCACGCGACACATCGTCTCAATATGGTGATCATTTCTGTGGAATATTTTTTAAATCCGACTTCAAATAACAAAGTTATGGACCGGACACGATTTTGCTGCAAGGTCATGCTGTGACCTTGACCTTCAAGGTAGCGACCAAAATGTTGCGCGCGACATGTCGTCTCAATATGGTGATCATTTCTGTGAAATATTTTTAAAAATCCAACTTCAAAATAACAAAGTTATAGACTGAACACGATTTTGCTGCAAGGTCATGCTGTGACCTTGACCTTCAAGGTAGCAACCCAAATGTTGCGTGCGACACGTACCGTCTCAATATGGTGATCATTTCTG